TCACCGAATGCATTGACTCTTCCTGACTGCCACTGATACAACAATTTGCACGATCCTTGCGATTTGGCGATGCTATGACTAGACCTGTTGCATAAATAGGCAATACAACTGGACCTCTCCAAGGTAAAACTCATAGTGAACATATTTGGACAATTTCACCGGATGAAATTAAGGAACCTTGGCCACAAAAAGAGTCGGAATTGAAGTGTACCTGACATGAGGTGTTCTTGGGTCTCTCAGGAATGCATACTTGCTTACCATGTTACTTAAGGATTTCATTTGCCTCCGAATACGATTGATGCGCCTGCAATCAAAGAGGCGAGGAAATTCCCTGAAAATCCTCTGGGTGAGAGCAGCGGCGCGTGCATAACGCAGACGTCCCGAGGTGTCAGTCACAGCAAGTTTGCGACGCAGCACGCGCTTGAAACTGCTGTCGCGTGACATACAGTCACGAGCTTGGCGGTCGATCCCTGTGCACCGAAGATAAACTCGATGTCTCCCCGCGTTCAGTTGAGTGGCTGGCATACAGTATGTCACCACTCCGAGACTACCGCATCGATGAATGCCTGGATCTGGCTATTAGATGTTATAAGCACCGGTATTGCCCGAAGAGCAGACTCTTATGTGACAGCATTTTCTTTGTGCGTCACTACGCTGTGTGGTCTCAGAAGGTCCAACTATTGCGCAAACTCGGAGCGCGTCAGGAATGCGTTCAGCGGGATCACAGTTGACATCCGGCTAAGTAACAACAACGCCACTGCAGCAACCAATCCCTTCCGCAAAACAATCGCGATCCTTCCACTCAAATGACGGCAACGACCATTTTGGAGGAGGCTCTCCAAAGCGCTATACTTCAAGTTTGTAGAGCATGCACTATAGAAGGCCACACGATTGCTCGATTGTATCAAATCATGCGCCGTCTACCAAAGCCCATTGAGAGTTGCTTCCATACTCAACTCGCCGAGCGGAACCTACATCCTCGCTGGAGATGAATTGTTGGAGCGAGGCGTGACACTGAGTTCCAATAGATGAGATTCAATTTCTTTCAAAATCTTTGAGTGATTTTATCGACCCAATGCACCGATTCCATTAATGGCAAAGTGGCTACCGGCTAGCAGGTGTGTAGATACTTTGCCTGTGAGGTGTCGCTGCAGCCAGCCTCAACCATGGTCATTGGATAGCATTGGACTTTGTTTAAGAAGGACACCACTATACATTTCATAAAAATCTAGACCATACTCACACAAAAAGAGAAGGACCCTCCCAGGAAAACTGGGCGTTGTGACCGTAGGAAATCTTCAGTACTCATCAGCCCATGTGTGCTATTTAGAAATATTTAGAATACCCCTAGTAGCAGCAATTATGACGCTGTAATCTGGCTTCGACATTGAACCAGCAAAGTCATCATATGAGAGATCTTCTACAGACACTGCGCGTGATAGTTTCACAATTCTTTGGTAGCTCGATATCTGATGTGGTGAATGCTAGTCCAGATAGTCTGCTGCAGTAAGGGAAAAAATCCCACCGAGGAGATGTCCAATGTAGTGTTTCTCGTTACTCAAAGAGTCTGTGGGTGGACTCGGATCAATCATAACACACGAACATGGGACTGCCTTAAAGTGTAATATCTTAGCTATCTCCAAACCAACTTCAGCCCCAAGAGAGTCACCAACTATGCATATGGGGGACTCATGTGCCAGCTCAAGGAGCTCCCCAGCATGATGTGAAGCAAGTGCCTATCAAGATCGTTCTTTCCAAACCGAGTGAATGACTGGGGGCTTCCGCAGCATGTATCGGGTTACTGAAGAGTGAAATCATCATGCTATTGCCATTCCAGTCCCCGACTCTGTCCCATCATACATGAACGCAAGCATCGGTACCGACGCACTTCCCTAGTTCAGCGAAATTGGTACCATATCTTCGATCGGGGGCGTCGCATTTGTATCATATTCCTTAACGCAGCTCTGCACAATCTTCTTAAGCGCCACATGCGACTCGTTTTTTGGGATACTAGTGTGTTAGGATAGGTCCGCAGCAAGCAAGCGCAGTGTCGGAATTTCAAAAACTCAAGTGATTGGTAGGTCTATGCCAAATTGCACATTGATTTGATCAGTTATTCAGACAAGGCACCTGGAGTGAACTCCCATGTCTAAAAAGGAAGTGTCGTCTTCAGTGGATGGCTCGCTCGCGTCCACATGCTTCTCCCCATGATTTCTCCGTTGGTAACGATGAAAAGAAAAGGCACCTCGAATGTTGGTCTTTGACCTTGAGCTAGAAATGGTTGTGAAGCACCCATGGGCAATAGTTCCGCTAAAGCCAAATGCGCTAAAACGACCCATACTAGTCCTGGAGTGTGCGATTCCCATCATTGGCTCAACGTTTATCTGACAATGCAAACAGGTCATTGACAGATGACTCAACCTGGCATTTGAAAGAAATGTTTCTGTTGTATGCTTCGCTAACCCAAGCTGACTAATTAAATTAAGCGTTCACTGCGACCATGTTCAGGCGCAGGGGTACAAGTATGAGAGACAACAGACCCGCAGCAGCTGCGCACGCCTCTAAGTGGCCCATATTTGACTTCATACACACGCACTGCACCGATCATAGTGCTTTTTCCTCTGATGCACACAGAGCCATAGCCACAGCGCCCACCTGAATAAATACTCATGAAAGTTCTGGTTGTTGCAATCCCTCGATGCTTCAATTGGATCCCCAAGGGCCGTTCCTGTGCCGTGCGCTTCCAGGGCCTATACAGCAGCACCAGTGTCCCGGACTGACTTGATTAATCATGTTTGCGACGTTCCATTCGGTGCAGTCAGGCTCGCACTGAAGCCATCTTACTACACGGCAGAACCAAGGAAGGCTAGTTCACCGGCGCTGCCAGACGACACCAAGAATACCCCGCAACCCTCGCCCCGACAGTACCCGTCGGCACGGCGGTCAAATGTGTGGCATCATCCCAGTGCCGAGAGCATTCCCGCCGCTGAAAATGCCAACGACACCATTTCTGTCAACATTCCGACGCCGGAAGCTGCAGCATGAAGGCATTCAAATAGCATGATCGAGGATGCGGCCAAGTGCAATGCCACCAGTGATGATGAACAAGCTGTGTCGAGTGTCAAACAGGGGCCCGTGAAACCCAGCGTGTAGGAGACTCAACCAGACGCGACCGATAGCGCCCCCGAGGTCCCAGCATATACTGACAGCGTGCTCTTCGAGCATGTCCGAGACTGATTTGCTTTATCACTACCGGTCTCGCTTGAAAGACTGCCGCCGGCACCTAGGAAAAAACCGACAGCCGAATTTCCTTAACAAAAAAACACATCAAACATAGAATGGCTGCTATCTAGAAGT